GTATTTATATATTTATGTATTTATATATGTATTTATATTTTAATATTTTTATATATAAATATATAGATATATATAAATATATATATATAATAAAACACGTAAAGATACATATATATATATAATAAAACACGTGAAGATATATATATATATATATATATATATATATATATATATATATAAAACTTTATCCTATCAATGATTGTATTCTTGTACGCCAAGTTATTACGGGCTTCACAATTTATAAGGTGAGCGTAGAACTGCCTAGGAAACGAGTTATTTAAAATCTGAAAAAGCTGGACAAACCTATAGCATTGATCAGATATTCTATCTTCGGGTCCCCAAGTGCGATTAGTAAGGCTGATGATCTCCAGTAGTGTTTAAGTCCGAAAAATGATTTTAACAGTTGAAACTTGTCTAACTCACTACGTAATGTCTTAGACATGTTAACACATTGACAGCCATAGGAAAGAATTGGCGACAGGTTAGTATTCCTGACATGAGATTTAACATCAGTGGAAGTACCGTTTTTGCATAAGCCCACGCCCTGTAGTAAGAAAATGCACGCTGGAATTTCCGGATTCATGTAAATGTAAATCTGGTTTAAGACTACTAGAAAGATCAACGTTTATGTGGAATATTGGTACAATTACAATACTATACAATATTCCGGCAACAAACAAAATACAATTCTATAATTCATGTCTTCTAAATAAGTAGCAAAAAATAGAGGAAACTGAAGTAAAAAAAAAAGAAAAAAAAAGAAGTTATATGATTACGATTATACCCATATTCAAAAAAGGCGATCGTTGTGATTTAAATAATTATAGAGGGATTGTGTTAGACTCTTGTGTTGCGAAGATATGTTTTAGTAGTTAACCTACCACTGGCAGGCGGTGCCTTCTCGAAGAGCATGACATACAAAAAGACAGAAGATGCGAGGACCATATCCATATGCGTGCTGTTAAGTAAAGTACCGTATTTCACACCACCTGGCTAAGTAAACATATATACTCATACCACTCCACTCTTCTCATCCAGCACCTGATGATCGCATATAGCGTGAAACTTTAAGTAGTGCAAACCTCAACCGAAGGTTTTCCTGTTTTTATCTAAAATATAATAATAATAATAATAATAAAAAAAATAATAATAATAATAATAATAATAGAGACATTGATAAAATCAAATAACACGGTTGACGTATTGGAGGAACGTAAGTATTTTATTGCACACGAATATTTCGTATTGGAGGAACGTAAGTATTTTATTGCACACGAATATTTCGACCTGTCCTCAGAACTTTCTCAACGTGAATGAACAAAAACATTACAAAGTAGGTAAACCATGAGCATTTTATCAATGTCTCTATTATTATTATTATTATTTATTTTACTGGAAACATACGTGCTCGCAATCACATTGATGCCTATTCTCTCTCTCTCTCTCTCCCTCTCTCTCTCTCCTCTATATATATATATATATATATTATATATATATATATATATTATATATATAGACAAATAGCATATATTTAATAATACACATATGTATCGCTGCAGCATTTTATATAAAAATAGCGATGTTGCAATAATTTTGTTTTTATTTCACAGTTTAACAAATTATTTTTGCGGGTATACGATGCATCTTAATCAGAATTTGGAATTAATACCTGCAGGAGAAAATGTAATGGAATCAGAGCTAATACATATTCATGATTAACTGAGGTAACTAACAAATTAAGTCCATCCATGTTTGGTCATGAGATTATTACATTAATGACAAGCTCGATCAATCCTGTACACATCGACTATCACCTGATGATATAATATTTTGTTTAATTAAGACAAAATCGGTTCGCTAATGTTTTCGTGATGACAGCGAAAATTACGACAAGCAAATAACTTAATATAATTTTTATTCATAACAATACACACAGCTCAGTGAACACGTTTGTTCAGGTGTTCTGCAAGTCAACCATCAATGATTATATTTCGTCCTCTTAAATTTTTTTACACTCTATTTTACACTTCTATTCAGATCCCTTCTTCATATTGTATATCGCGAATCGCACGTACTGGACACGCCGTGATATGAACATTCATTTTTTTTGGCAAATGTACATCATAACAATATAAGCCTAAAAAAAGTGAAATTGTGAACCATTTACAGTTTTGTATAATACCGTACATTATATACAATACGTAATTAGAATTAGCCGTGTTAGTTGTATAATAATATCGCACGAATTACAACAATATAAGCACTCTGGACTAACTTTACATATGACTATATATATACCGTATAGATATATATATATATATATATATATATATATATATAGGCCTATA